ATTCAGTATGCTGATAGTAATAAATAATAAATGTCTTTGCTCTTTAGTTTTACTTTTTAAAAGTTTTCTTAATTAAATTAAAATAAACGCATTTATATATAATATTGCAAAAACAGCTGAAGTGTATTTATTGGTTTACGTTAAAAACCACCCAGTTAATCCATACAAATTTGGTGTCATTACACAGACACAGACAATGTTTGTTTTATTGTCTTACAATTAGACATAATTTTAATTAAAATGGTTCATTTTTAAATTACTATTATATTAAGTTTATAGATTAATACAGAATATTTCCCTATTATGTTGTCATCTACCAGTACACAATACTTCTGTGTACCACGTAGATTTTATGAGTAGAAGCCATTTCGGTAGTACCTACGCGAGCGCCTTAGTAGTATAGTAACTTCGACTATAGATGTCGCAGAAGCGTAATACTTACACGGCAAGATGGATCATAATTACTGCTGTACATCGATGTGTTAACTAAATTCTACCGTAAGTAATGAAAAGGTATCAAAAAAAAAATTAAATATTAAGCTGTCAATTGGTTGAAGAATTTAATAAAAAAAATTACCGTGCGATTTATTTGTGCGGTAATGCCTAGACATGTTTGTAATATTTTTTACAATTAAAATATGCCCATTGGAGTTTTTAATCCAGATATGTTTAATTATCTGATCTGCAACACTTATTAATACACAACATATAATCAATATTATCTCTATAATAATGATGTTATTGTCTTTCAGGGTTGCATTCAAACCGACTGCACTCTTTCTTAGCTTCCCCCCACTCTATTGCTTCTTGTACTTCCCCCATTATGTATTCGTAGCGTGGATCGGCATTGAGGTCTAACATCTTCGTTGTTTGTAAAATTGCATCGCCAGCATTTTTGTATTTCATCGCGAATTGAGGATTTTGACAAACAACATATTGGAGGCAACCATTATTGCCAGGAGATCCTAAAAATTGGGTAGAAAAAGATTGGATAATAATATTTAAGCTATTTTAATACTAGATATTAATAAACAAAAAGAAACCTTGAATCAAACTAGCAGTAAATTTTGTTGCTCGAGACACTAAGGTTAATACAGTAAATCGGAATTATAGTATTTCAAAACAAAGGTTTCGACATTCTTCTTTCATTAAAAAAGACTGCGGAACGATTGGTCGTACGGATGAAGCGTCCGCGACAAAAATGTGTGGTTTGTGAACATATGTGTTTTCATAATCATCGTAAGGTCGTCAGTCCTAAGACTGATTGGACACGCATCTCCACTCTTTTCTATCCTGAGGTAATATTCGCATTTCCCTAAAACTAGAACATCCCAGGTCCTTAACTGTTTGCGAACAGTAATTTAATCCAGGTCTGCATCTACTCCTCTTAACTCCTGTTTCTGCCTCTAATATGTGTCTGATTAGCCCTTCATCCCTGAGAAAGTATCCTACCAACCTATCTCGCCTATTTCTTATTGATTTCCTTTGTTCTCCTATTCCTTCTAATATTTCTTCATTTCTAACCTTCCCTATCCACGCTATCGTCATCATTCGCCTTAACACCACATTTCGAACGCGTCTAACGTTTTCTTTTCCGCCGCGCCCACCGTCCATTTTTTGAATGCATACAGCGTTGCGCTCCAAACCATACACTTTTAACAATCTTTTTCGAATTTCCAAATTAATCGTTCGCGGGCATAGAAGTGACTTCTTTTTACTGAAGGCGACTCTACCCTGCACTATCCTTTGCTTTATATCCCTACTACTCCTTCCGTTCTGACTTATCTGACTTCCTAGATACCTAAAATCGGCCACTTCTAATTTATTCGCTCTTTCCCTACTTTTTCTTGCTTTGCATACCAGTATTTTTATTTTACATTTATTTATTTTCATACAGTACTGTTTTGTCAATACCGCCTCCATTTTATTTAAAGTTATCTCTAACTCCTCCTTGCTAGATGCTAATACTACTTTATAACCTGCAAATCTAAGCATACTAATCTTTTGTCCCTGTATAACTACCCCTACAGTTGTACTGTATAGATATGTGTTTTATGGAAATGGTTCTTGCAAACGAACCGAATAGTAACTATTGATTTTTCAATGCGTTTTCCATTATTTTGGTGGATACAGCTCTAAAATTACCTGTCAAGAAAGATAGAAACAGCAATTTTTCTTCATTAGTGATTAGTGACTCATCTTCCCTTTTTCTATGATAGTAGTCATCTTTCAGAGCACCAACTCCTAATGTACCAGCCGCAAAAATTAGGGCTTTCAATAGTATCAATACCAATAAATTAGTTAGATTCACAGAAATAATTTGAGATCCATTCCCGTTTGAATAACTCCTAGACATCAAATTTCCCACAAAGGTAGATAACATAGTTCTGGCATCAATAGCTCTAAAATCCAAAACTTAGTTAAATTTAATTTTTACATTTTAATTGCTACTTGCCTTTCCTGTTTACTCATAATCAAATTTTCTTCTGGAGATATCACAACAGCTAAATTAACACCAGCAAATAAAAATACTACTGCTATACATTTCCCCATAAACATTTTGATTTAAGCACTTATTGTTGTTGTTGTTGTTGTTGTTGGAAACTTTATACAAATAAGAATNACGATGCTACATTTTAGGATTACGTATGCTCCAGGTTCTTTCCTCCCTTTATAATGTCTTGTCAGTTACCTTAGGGGAACGAAATTCACCCATTCATTGTCTTTGTGAAATTGTATGGAATTATTATCTATTATTTACCGTTTCACTATATGAACAAACTAAGTTGCCTTGTCTCAGAGAAGAAAAATAGAATCGAAAGTAAAATGTTAGCGTTTTGGTTGAAGTAGCTGGCACAAAAGATAACTATTTGACATGTGGATGATGGATGCAGAAAATTGAAATGAATAAAGCAATAAAACATGCAACACAACGTGTCGACATTTCAATTCTCTACTGTTTCTTTTTTCATATTGGAATTCATTTTTTAAAAACCATTGCGAATGAGGATAATCATTCGTACAAAAGCTAAAGATTTGATACATATAGTCGGGATGTTCAAAATTGACATAGTTCGCAATAAAATTATCACATTTACTTTCTTATTTCAACTTACTAACAAGACTAGAGTGGTTGCTATTTTTATTCACGACAGACATTATAGGGAATATCGTAAACATAGAAAAGAGATGCCAGGTAGGAATTGCAGCGGACAACAGAAGAATAACATTATACCATTTGATATGTAATAGAATGGGATGTAGACAAGGAGAATTTGAGTACGTTGCGAGCCTTAAAAAAAGTTCAACATTCTCAGGAATTTAAGAATTTGTTTAAAGATAATTTCCAACCATGCAGTTATAAAGCCGTCCCTGATCTTTTGCATACCTAAGCAACCTCTAACTGCTGCACCGCTTACTATTATTGAGTTTCTCTTTTCATTTTGTCTGTACTCCTGGTGAAGCTTTTCCTAACTTAACAAGGGTCTGTTCAAAACGCAGCAAATGACTACAGTCCCAAGTGGAAGCAAGAAAGAAGATACGTCCATTCTCGTGGATAATTTATTGGGGAATTTGACAATTTTGTTCGTCCCAACTATATTTCCATTGATGTGGGTCCATCGCTTAACTGCTGAACAGCTTTTGAGCAATTTATTTCAGTTTAATTCGGTGGACGGATTATCACGACATTCCTATTTAAAGTTAGGTTATAAATATTTTCGTACAAAACGATGATTTAAATACCTCAAAGGTCACAAAACGTACGTCTTCTTGTCACTGAGAAAAAGGGATGAGCGATGCGTTGCGCATGTATGGGGGGAGGGAAGAAGTTACTACTTCCGCTTCATCGTAAAGCGCGCAAGACGCTCATGATGTGCAGTTCACAATTAGCTAGTGAGAAGTATGAAATACATACATCTAAATCATTTTTCGTTTAGTAGTAGTAGCATTCACGAGGGGTTGTGGAAACTCCGTTTACTTCAACATATTTGTGCAAAAAAACATATTAATACCATTTTAATGTTTTCCAAGAACATTTATCATATTCTTCAATAATTAATTTTGTCTACTTGGTTTCCTAAAGATAAACAATAAATGTACTATACTATTTTCCCATTTAGGTCCCATTTCTAAAATTTTTTTGAAGTTAATTTAAGGGACTCGGATAAGTAGGTACTATGAAAATAAAATACCCAAAAATTTGTCAAATATTTAATTAAAATTCTGTACAAAATGTTAACAAAAAAATTATAATTTTCTTAAAGCTACTTAACAGAAAGTTAGAATAAATACCTAACTCTTATACAAATAATAATAATAGTTACTTATTATTACAATAAAAATAATAACACATAATCTATATACACTGCATGTATTGGTTTGTGATAATACCTAATATTATTTTCAGATATAATGAAAAATAAGCCACTCGCGAAGAAGTATCTGGATAATAAGATAGGTAAATTCTGATAAAGAAAAGAATTTGAATAAATAACAAGAAAGTAAACCAGGTACACAATAAATAAATAGTTTTAAAAGTAAAGCCGTGACAAATTACCGTACACATTTGACCATAAAATGTTTTTATTGGGGAAAGCTATCAGCAATAATTATAAACATTAGA